GTGTGTGGGTTGATTTCTGGATTCTCTATTCTATTCCATTGATCAGTGTGTCTGTTTTTATGCCAGTACCATACTGTTTTGGTTATTATACCTTTGTAGTATAGTTTAAAGTCAGGTAGTGTTATGCCTCCAGCTTTATTTTTATTGCTCAGCGTTGCTTTGGCTATGCGTGGTCTTTAGTTATTCCATACAAATGCCTGGATAGTTCTTTCCGTTTCTGAGAAAAATGTCATTGGAATTTTGATGGTGATTGCATTGAGTTTGTATATCACTTTGGGTAGTATGGCCCTTTTCACTATGTTGATTCTTCCAATCCAAGAGCATGGGATATCTTGCCATCTTCTTGTATCCTGCCTTTTACATTAAGAGTTGTTATTGAAAAGTGTTGATTTATTTCTAGCATCTTATTGGTTGTTGTTTGGTTGTCTTAGATGTCTTTTATTCCTTGCTTTCTGCAATGGTGGTTATTTTTCAAGGAACCAAACCCAGTACTCCTTTTACAATTTCTTGTAAGGGTGCTCATGTGGTGGTGAACTCCCGCAGTTTTTGTTTGTCTGAGAAATATACTATTTGCCCTTCATTTCGGAAGGATAGCCTGGCAGGGTAGAGTATTCTTGGCTGGCAATCTCTGGCTTTTAGTATGTTGAATATATCCTCCCATTCCTTTCTGGCTTTTAGGGTTTGTGATGAAAAATCTGATGTTAGCCTGATTGGGGCTCCCTTATAGGTGATTTGACGCTTCTCTCTTGCAGCTCTCAAGATTCTCTCTTTGTCTTTGAGTCTTGCCAATTTGACTATAACATGTTTTGGAGAAGACCTTTTTGGGTTGAATACGTTTTGAGATCGTTGAGCTTCCTGGATCTGAAGATCTGTGATTTTTCCTGTACCTGGGAAGTTTTCCGCCAGTATTTTGTTGAATATATTTTCAATGCAATCTCCTTTTTCCTCCCCTTCTGGGATACCCATGACTCGGATATCTGAGCGCTTAAGGTTGATATCTCTCTCAGATTTTCTTCAATGCCTTTGATTCTTTTTTTTTTTTTGTCTGCTTGT